CTTCACATTAGAGGAAGACTGGAACCTGGATCTGTATTTTGCAATTGGCTCTTGGTATCAGATATTTCATGGAGTTAGTTATGAATCAAGAAATGTAAGGGATCTGTCGACTGGTTGTTAATGCTCAGAGTCTCCAAACATCTCCCACGGTAACTGGCCTTGATCCAGTGAAACAACTGCCCCCAGTGAGGACTTCCTGATGGCCGCACACAGCTGAGGATGCAGCTTCTGCGGGGCTAACGCGGCGCCGCGTGGGCGTGATGGTGAAAACATGCGCATCATTTGCAATGAGCGGAGGGGAATGAGTGTGAATGTAGCACTTTCCACCGGGCGCAGACTCTCCGGGAAGCCCACCGCACCGAGTCGGCCACGGCCAAGATCGTGGGCACATCTGAGGAGAGAGAGGAGAATCTGAGAGGCCACCAAAATGGTGCTCTACTTTTAATCAATGAACGACTTCGATTTGCCGTGTTTTAAAACACTTTTTTTAAGCTTTATTCTATACCAGGGGTGGGCAACTCCGGGCCTCGAGAGCCACTGTCCTGCAGGTTTTTAGAGGTTTCCCATCTTCTACACACCTGATTCACATCAGCACAACATCAGCAGTCCTGTTCAGAGCTGAAGCACCTTTAGAAGAGATCAGTTTTATCTGAATCAGGTGTGCAGAAGCTGGGAAACCTCTAAAACCTGCAGGACAGTGGCTCTCGAGTAGGGATGGGGATCGAAACCCGGTTCTATCAAGGACCCGGTTCCACTTTTTTCAAAACCCAAAAATCAATACCGTTTGGGCTTTTCGATACCACTATCGAGTCTGGTCGTTTTTATTATTATTACAATAGTAATTGTGAAATCCGTGTTGTAATCGGCAGCATACAAGCTAGTTAGCTTGAAAAGTAAATAAAGTTTCAGACATGCTGTGTGATGATGTGTTCAGATTGGCTCAGTAAAACGACAATTAGGTTATCATGATGCGTTCAAGTGTAACGTTAAGAAAAGGGAAATTGAATTTTGGGCGAGAAACATGAGTAATACAGTTGTATATTGCTGTAATTATTTTAGAATATATAATTAAACTACTGATGCCAACATTTATTAAAAATTACATTTAATTTAAAATACAATTATTTATTTGCTAAATATTGTCGCATCGTGTTTCCACCAAATAACAGAAAAGCATCAATAGTGGTATTGATAAAGACTCGGATCGATAAGGAGTATCGATAAAAGTATCGATATCAAGAAATATTAACTATCCCCATGCCTGCTCTCGAGTCCCGGAGTTGCCCACCCCTGTTCTATACCAAAGGCAGCTGAGCAGACTCAGAACCCTCTTTGTGGTCTGAGCCTCCTCGTGGGACGCCGGAGCGCTAATGGGCGGTTGCCAGTAATGGAAACGGAGAGCTGGCCACAGAAAGGTGCGCATCGACGTGCATTATCGCTGAAACACGCGCTCGCTAATGGGAGACAGAGAGGGCTGAGTGTTGCGGGCGAAACGTTTTAGCATCAGATCTTTCAGTTCCTGAAAGGGGGCTCGTTCAGCCGCTCGCTCCGAGGACTCGGGGGTTTGACAGCAGCGGTTCTCACTCCCATCAACACCCAGATAAAGGAGCTCAGACTCCAGCCTGACGCCACATCTGTGGCGCAGTCCTGTCCGCACACCTCCAAACCCGAACCAAAAGCTCTGGCAGCGGATCACTCGACTGTGAGACCTCGGCTGCTGTTTTTTTTTCTTTTCTGACAGCAACATCCTCTTATTTTTGCCATTCCTGAAGGCCCAGAGAAAGGGATGTGCATTTGTTTCCTGCCAATGAAAATGGCTCCCCACCCTTCCTGCTTGAGTCATGCCACATGGGCCCGACCAGCCGACAGACAAACCAGACGATCTGTCTTGTGTGGCTTCATCAATCCCGGGAAAAAGGAGAAAAAAAAGCTAAGGATGTTCCCGTTTCCCGGGTGTCTCTGTGGTGGAAGCTGCTCTGCTGTTCAGGCAGGAAAGAGAAGAGGAAAGATAAGAAGACAGGGAAAGGAAATAAAACATGAGCTTGGTGTGAGAGGTTTAAACAAATGACAGATAAGTTCGCAGTCGAACGCTGAAAAGGCCCCGGATGCTTTTCAGGCACTGGGGAAGTCCTGTGATGATTCTGCCCTTTCCTGTTTGCTTCTTTGAGGAAATCGTTTGCATTCGAGCTATTCTGGGACGCAGACGGCGGTTTGAAAAAGTGAAAACGTGCCACGGCCGAGCTGTTGACGAGCCGGCCCCATCATCTCCATGGTAACCGAACCGTCGTCCACCAAAGTGAGCCGGAGGGGTTGACAGTGGCTCAAAGAGCAGATCAGACCTTTTCAAGAGGGAGCGGTTAGGGTGCCATCAGATGGAGGGCCGCTGACCCCGGGACGGGACTCCGACAGGCCCCGGGCGCTTCCTGCTTCCTGCCGGAGGACGGCTGCAGGGGGAGGATAAGGGGAGGATAAGGGGAGAATAAGGCCGGGGGCAGGAAACCCCCGAGCTGAGGCAGCTTCCAGCCCCTCATGCCCCGTCACAGCAGCCACCGGCTTCCCCCTCAAGCCCTGACCTCACGGGCATAACAGAGGGATGAGTCCGTGTTTGTCTGGAGGAGGTCGGAGACAGGAAATCTGCTGCTCTAACTTTCCCTGGTCACCGTGGTCACACTATGGCCAAAACCCCCTTGAAACCGTCAAGTTATTTAGTCCTTTTTTAAGGATTTTGTTCAGTTTAGTTTGTTTGTAGACAGTCGAGGGGAATGCGTTGCTCCATATCTGTCATTGTGGGACTTTTAAAAAATATTTTTAAAAGTATTTTCTGACGCTGTCAGCTTCCTTCAGCTCCACCTCAGACAGGCGTGGCTTTAAGAGCATTCCCGTGTTGACTCTCAGAGTCTTTTCGGCTCTTTGAGATTCCCACGTCTCAGCAGAAAAGCATGAAACGAGTTCTCTCCGCTGAACATATAGTCGCTTTGTTTTTGGGGAAGACGAGCGGCCGCAGATGTTCTGGCTTTGTTACACCGGGTAATTCCCCTGAACTGAACTGAGCTGGCCATTGGTTGCTGGCAAAGAAAAACTTTTGATTGCATCCGATGGTTGTCGGCCGTTGGGGGGGTGTGGGGGCGGAGTTGGGATGCATTCTTAGCTGTTTGCCAAGGTTTTGTAAAGATGGTGTGCCAAGATGGAGCTTTTTCATTGATTGCTTTCTTCTCACTGAGAAGTCAGTGAGAAGACGGGTTCAACAAGCCATCCATCCAGCGAAGGGCAGTAAATTCAAGCAAAAGGCCGAGAAATAAACGCCTCGATAACAAGCCCAGTGAGGCCGAGGAGCTGGATTGGTCTGTGAAACCAATCTGGTGCTTTTTAAAATGGACACGCTATGTTTAAAAGGGTGTAAAAGAAAACAAAATGTTAGAGTAAAGACATGCATGAGGGATGGTGATCGGCACATCCTGATGTTATTATATGATATTACGATGATTATACATGCGGGAAAATGTCCTAATTAATTCAGTTTTCTGTCCATTTCCTTTTTTTAATCTCAGATATTATCGTGGAGGCCTTTTACAATAAGCAGGCCTTGAAAAACAGTGAAGAATTGCTTTGATTTTCAGCCGCTGGTCTTTTTTTCTAACCGAAGTGACGTGAATGGCTGATTTCCAGGTGTGGATGCTGCCATTTACTGCTGAATCAGCACCGAGCGCTGCGTCTGTGCTGCTCCTGCGCGTTTTTATGTCTTATATTAAACACATGCATCTTTGTTCCAGCTCTTGTTTTAAACTGAGGGAACTGGCTGTAAAGGAAGAAGAAAAAAAACAATCTCTTTCCAAAAATGAGCAAGTTGGAAATTCATTTCTTTGGTTGGTAATGTTTACAATTAGCCGGGTCGTTCTTAGGGGGTTAAAAGCAGTCAAATCTGTTAAGACGTTAATGAAAGTGTGAAGTAGGCCAAAGCCCTGATAAACACCATATGGCCACATCCTGGAGAGGGTTTGAACAAAAGTCCTTTAAGGACATTCCCCTCGTTCTTTTCAGTTTAAAAGTATTTGCCATGTTCGTTTTTTTTTTTTTTGATCAGGACGTGACCGCTCGGAACGTGCATTTTGACCACTGCGACCGACTCGGGGCAGTTTGCAGCACGGGGGGGCAGAGTAACGAGGCAGTGGGGGGG